CGAATATGCCTGATAGTCAACCGTGAGCATACATGAGCATATTTTATGACGCATAAATATGCTTGTCACAAAATAAATATACGAAAAACGTTATAACCATAAGAATCAGAGCATTTGGCGTAATTTGCCAAAACGATCGCTTTTCAGAGGGTGAGCTCCCTTTGCTGAACGATGCCATTGTATTCTGAAACTTATGTATTTGGCATAAGTTCGAGTTTCATTTAATATGACGCTCCGTGGTACGTGCGATGTTCCATACTGTTACAAATTATATAATGAACTGTTTATTTGATTTATGGCGAATCATCTAAGTGTGAGCGGTCGTGGCGATATCATTCTAAGTTCTAGATGAGTAACTAGGTTCTTGTTCTCGTTAAAAGTACTATTAACAACAAAAGTCTTATAAAAAAACATTTATTTATTTATTTAATAATGAAGAGAGGCCACAATTGGCACTAGCCCTCAGTTTCTCGCCGGACTCGCCTCTCTCTTCTCAGTGGAACGCGCTTCCGATCCGGTGGTAGATTCTGCGAAGCACTGCTCTTGCTAGGGCCAGTGCTAGCAACACCTCCGGTTTGAGCCCCGTGAGCTCACCTACTGGTTAAGATTACGCTGAAATAGCCTCACAAGTCTCAAGGCAAGCTTAGGTAGGAAAAATAAATAAATTGGCACTAACTATTACAAAATATTATGTATTTATATGAAAAAACACCTATTCGATCAAAGTACTCGTACGCTCGAAGAACGAATTACTATTGAATTTTGAATGAAATACTTTTTTACTGGTGGTAGGACCTCTTGAGAGTCCGCACGGGTAGGTACCACCACCCCGCCTATTTCCGCCGTGAAGCAGTAATGCGTTTCGGTTCGAAGGATGGGGTAGCCGTAACTATACTGAGATCTTAGAACTTATATCTCGAGGTGGGTGGCGCATTTACGTTGTAGATGTCTATGGGCTCCAGTAACCACTTAACACCAGGTGGGCTGTGAGCTCGTCCATCATCTAAGCAATAAAAAAAGTGTGTGTGTCCGCTCCGACGCACGACTGGAGTTTACTGGATATAAAAAATTAAACGAAACAATACGAGAAATAGTTCTATATTACGACAACACGATACACTACAGATTATTAACAAATTAACGAGACACAAAACAAACGACTAACAAATATATGAAAATACAATAATGAGAGAAACGCGCGATCAGTACGAGGCTTTGTGGCGGACTGCCGGCGCAGCAGCCCGGCGTCACCTGCGATAACGCGGCCGCGCGTTGGCTCCTGATTGGCGCGCGCACGCATCACGCAATCAGGAGCCAATCAGGCGCATAACGCATTTCGTGTGACATGCTAGTACGATTTTGGTCCCCATAATTTTCATACCCCGGGCCTATATATGTAAATCGATTCTAAAGGAGTAAACTCCAAAAAAAAAATCCCTTGGAATCTGCAATTTACAAATTTTATATCACTAATCGAGTAGTCTTCTATCTATGTATATAAAAATGAATTGCTGTTCGTTAGTCTCGCGACTCGAAAACTCGAGAACGGCTGTACCGATTTGGCTAATTTTGGTCTTGAATTATTTGTGGAAGTCCAGAGAAGGTTTAAAATGTAATAAGAATGCTCGGAATTAAATAAAAATAACAATTTTGTTTTTCCTTTGAGTTGTCCCCCGTCGGACGGATTCTTTTTGTTTTTTTTTTAAGTTTATTTTATACGAAAGTTTAGGTCTTTTATTTAACGATTGAGGCACTACGAAGTCTGCCGGATCAGCTAGTTTATAATAGTTTTAAGACAGCCACGATTTAGGCACAAACTCTAAATCGACTGTGTTCAAGCAAGTCAATCTTTGCCAACGTCATATTTAAATTTGTACAGGTTTTTATCACTATGAACTTGTGGGCATTGCGCCCCTGTGTAACTACACCCTCCCTACTATTTATTCCCTTTTGTTTCTCACCCTAACAAAGGGCGTTGTTACGGCCGCGTCGACGCTTTGATTTTGTTACATAAATTGATCGTTACAATCTTTAATATGCTGTATGCTACTATTTTAATATACACATACACAGAGTAAGTAAAATTTTAAGTAATAATAATGACCTATGGCGGACACAAGTCACATACGATTATTTGGCCCTAAATTAAGATTCTCTGTACTCTTGGAAACAGACTATAACAGATATACGTTTAAAAATACATATCCACGCTTGAAAGGCAAACGTGACTAAGCGACAATGCGTGAACTTTACAGTAGACTAATTTAATTAATTTAAATTATTAATTTTAATTTAAATTAATTAAATTAATTTAATTAAAATTAAATAATAATTAACTAAATTAATTTCCTCCTGACCAAAAACAAAAGACTAATTTAAAGTTGAAATACCTGAAAACAAAATTTATTTTAACGAATCTAGCTGTAGTAGAATCTAGCTAGTAGCTGTATGATTGAAATGATTTTAATAGACCTAGAAATATATATTTTTTGCGCATCGAATATGGTTATTGCCTATCATTTATGTACAAAGCAGTTATTGTCGCTTAGTCACGTTTGCCTTTCAAGAGTCGATATGTAATACACAGAGTAAGTAAAATTTTAAGTAATAATAATGACCTATGGCGGACACAAGTCACATACGATTATTTGGCCCTAAATTAAGATTCCCTGTACTATTGGAAACAGACTATAACAGATATACATTTAAAAATATAGATATCGAGGGGTGTAAGGCGGTTTAAGCAACATTTCACTTAATACACGACATTCATCTTTTTTTTTAATTTTTTTTTTATTGCTCTTGTAGGCGTAGACGAGCATACGGCCCACCTGATGGTGAGTGGCTACCGTCGCCCATGGACTTCAGCAACGCCAGGGGCAGAGCCAAACCGCTGCCTACCGCTTAATACTCTCCACAAGCCTTTAATTAAAGATGCGTTTTATTCGGTGTCAGCATCAACAGTTCAATATTTTTTTGTTGAACTTCAATTAATTTTACTACATGGAAATAGCTGAAGAAATGTTTTTGTTATGATATATATATTTTTTTAAATTTATTGATGCACAAAACTAAATTACAATCATTACAGTACATTTTAGCTAAATCGTACAAGTACTACCTAGATCTAATCTGGATTGCAATATAAATTATTATGTATTAATGTACATAGCTTTGGCTACTGAAAACAAAATTACAAATAAGAATTTAAAATTATATTAAGACTACATAAGTATTTAAAATACATTATTTTTTCAAAAATTTTGAACTGTAAATCCTCCGGTAAAATTGCAAAAGTGTCGCTTAAACCAATAGCCTTTCACCTGTCGTTATATAGATAGATATTAAACATTTAAACAAATTTGGTAATCACACGAATATTTGCTGATGCGGAAATCGATCCCACGACCCTCGGCCCAGCAGTGGCGCTAACTATTACACCACCAAGTTAATGTATCTTTAGTCTTCAAGCCGGTTATTAATTTACACTTCGTTTTATCTCTTTCGATAGTGTTTAACGCAAAAAGGCCTGTATATCATAGGTCTTACGTTTGAGAATCAATAAACCCTGAGCAGATTTGGACGCCTAAGACGATAGATAGCCTTGAGAGGCTATTTCAGCGTAACCTTAACTAGTAGGTGAGCTCACGGGGCTCAAACCTGACGACGTTGCTAACACGAACCCTAGCAAGAGCCGTGCTTCGCAGAATCTACCACCGGATCGGAAACGTGACCCACTGAGAAGATCCGGCGAGAAACTCAGTGGGTTGTGTCTGCGGGTTAATTTACTCGTCAAGCCCTTCGTCGCAAGCGACGGGTTCGACGAGAACGATGACCGGACAATAAACAAAGAGTATATGTGTTGGGTAAAATTATGGTAGTGTGTGTAATGTTTTTTATTTATTGATTTAATGTATTTTTTATGCATAATTAAAAAAAAATATTAAGTAACATTCTGCACTCCTCTATTATTCTTTATAAGTGTGGGAAATTTCATACTCCTCCGTCCGCGCAATTTTTGTAAAATGGGGTACAAAGTTTTCGCTTCACCTATTAATATATAGATAACGGTTATCGGTCCTTGGTACGTGTGTAAATGAAGTTGAAAGATTCTGTTAAATAGAGCAAACGATAGACAGTTTTTTTTTTATTGCCCTTGTAAGCAGACGAGCACACGGCCCACCTGATGGTGAGTGGTTACCGTCGCCCATGGACTTCAGCAATACCAGGGGCAGAGCCAAGCCGCTGCCTACCGCTTAATACTCTCCACAAGCCTCGTTTAAAGAAGGACATGTCATAGCGCTCGGGAAAGGTCAAACTAATAAATGCGTTTTGTAAAGCTCTGTCCAACGATAATTTATTATCAAAATCGGTTGAGAATCACAACGTTACATCGATTTAGAACTATTGAGATTTCGGCCAAGCCACTGTTTTAATAAAACGAGGTCACTGGGATTTGTGAGACTGTTGCATTTCTGCCGCGCGTCCGTCCCCATTTCAAGGTCAGATTAGTCATTATTTCTATGTATGTTTCAAGTTCATCACGTGGTATCGATATCGAAGGCTTTTATCTATATCTGCTATTAGGCTCCTATTATGTTGCCCTATTATTGAATTGATTATTGAATTTTATCGAAAACAATCGACATATGAGATTATCTTATACCTTTAAACGAGCAATTCTTGTGTATTAATATATATGTAATCTGAATATCGGAAACGGCTCCCAACGATCTTCATAAAATTTAGTATACAGGGGATTTCGGGGGCGATAAATCGAACTAGCTACGATTTATTTTCAGAAAATGTTGTTTTATTCGTGTTTTCAATAATCAACTTTATCGATAATCAACTTTATGACTCTTCCCGATATCTATTGGCGAATAATAATACTATTTTTACTGCTTTAAAGACACAAAAAGATGGCGTTATAAAAAAAAGCCGAGCAAAGCTCGGTCATCATCTAGTGTAATATTTAAAGAGCGTTTTCTTTGTTTCAGATCAGCGCCAGTTATGTTGAGTGTGCAGTGTTAGTGTAGTGACATGTCATTGTGTTGTTCATGTGTAGTGGAGAGGAGAGGAATCCCCCTTCCCCTGGACTCTGAATGGTAGCTACAGCTCGAGGTAAGGATGCGTTTTACGACCAAGTATTAGTACTAACTAACACTACTATTAACTGCTAGGTACTAACTTAAGTACTAAGCCGAAATTGGTGGGTGCAGATTCGAGATCTTTCGAGATTTTGAAATGGGTTGACGAACTTAAGACCCAACGGATGATGATGTATCTGTCAATTATAGATAGTATAATTGATATTCTATACAACAAATATTGTAGAGGACGATTGTGTTAAACTTTATAAACTTTTGCGATCTCTGGTGGCTGGACGTAAGATCGCACGGGTAAGCACTGCTATTTTTTTTACCTACTAGTAACCTCGAGGGGTTATACTAAATTCACAGAAATCGTAGGTGAGTACACGGAGTTCTAACCAGACGACGTTGCTAACACTAGCCCTAGCAAGAGCCGTGCTTCGCAGAATCTACAACCGGATCGGAAACGCGACCCACTGAGAAGATCCGGCGAGAAACTCAGTGGGCTGAGTCTGTGGGTTAATTTACTCGCCGAACTCTTCGTCCCAAGCGACGGGTTTTTATTCTTCGACTTCCTATTCCTATATTGCACTGTAATCATGTGTTCCTTGGGACGGCCGTTAAATAATGTAATTGAGACTTTAACGTCGTGCTTTAAGACAGATAAGGACATTCTCATCGTAAAGTCTATGGGTTTCTATAGCCTGTTAACGCCGAGTAGGTTAAGCGTGTTTGAGCTTCTTTGGACACATCATGCGGTCTCATAGAAGGCAGAACACCATCCAGATGGTCAGATCTGATTAAGAAAGCGGTTGGTGGTAATCTATACCGTGCGGTCCATGCCATCCATGACCGAACACTATAGAGGAGAGTCACATGTGGTCGCGATCCTCAGCAGTTAGGGAACGATGAAGAAGAGAGGTTGCGATCGCTAATGTTCTTCAATCAGCAGCAATGCATTTACGTAGCGCAATTTACGTAGGTGGGTGGCGCATTTATGTAGGTGGGTGGCGCATTTACGTTGTAGATGTCTATGGGCTCCAGTAACCACTCAGCATCAGATGGCTGTGAGCTCGCCCACCCACCTAAGCAAAAAAAAAATGCGCAGGATGGCTTAGACATGAATCGGGTAGGAAAAGTGATAAGAATTAGGTAGGAAATCTTCACCCAGCTAGTTGACTTCGATTTGACATATTTAGATTTCATATTAATTACGTGTAATGGTGTGAGTATTCAAAGATTCTGTCGTTTGTTACAATGTAATAAATTGTATGAGCAATTCTGTTGTCTCACACCGCTCTAACGGTCTACAGTATGCCTAACGGATTCAATAAACGCGTACAGACTTTTAAGCTTATAGAAGCGGACATCTCAGGTCCACATTATCATTTACAAAGCATAACTATTTATCAAAAATATAAAGAAAAATCTTTATCACTTTAAGACATCTAACAGAGTTTGACGTACTCAAATATGATTCACCCCTCAAGGTATCGTACAAAATCATTGCCACCTCTGATTTATTTAATTGGCAATATTAAGTCAGAATTTACAGGCCTGTAATTTCGATAGACCATTGTTTTTTTTTATTGCTTAGAAGTGTGGACGAGCTCACAGGCCACCTGGTGTTAAGTGGTTACTGGAGCCCATAGACATCTAAAATGTCAATGCCCCACCCACCTTGAGATATAAGTTCTAAGCTCTCAAGTATAGTTACAACGGCTGCCCCACCCTTCAAACCGAAACGCATTACTGCTTAACGCCAGAAATAGGCAGGGTGGTGGTACCTACCCGTGCGGACTCACAAGAGGTTCTACCAGCAACTAAAATTCGATACACCATTGTGCTTACATAGGTCTATCTTCTAACTTAACCGAACATCTCAAGCTCTACTGTAACCGACTGTGAGATAACGACTGACCAGATGAAACAATAAGGATAAAGTTTTTTTTTCTATGACCTGATCTGACTTACTGATGGTGAGATATCATTGACTCTCGTAGAGATCAGTATTGGCAGTGGCAGCGCTGATCCGCCCATTTCATCGGGTTATTTTCAAACCTCACTTTTTAAATGATATGTCATGGAGCTTACCAAACATCGCAGAGAAGAGTTCATGCTAATTCAGGATGGCAAAAACAGTTCTCTGAAAAGCTCCTGTGTGAGTGCAATATTTCCAATCTCTTTGGCTCAACGACCCTAAAAGCAATCGCCGTGTGATCATCACTATGTAATTAGATCTAACAAAGAGCTTTAATCCACCGGACTAATCCTTACACTGTTTCTAAATACAGGGTGTGATTTTTACAATACAAAAGAGTACAATGACCGTCAGCGGAAACATTATTTTGAAACTCGATTTTTTTATTTATTGCTTAGATGGGTGGACGAGCTCACAGCCCACCTGGTGTTAAGTGGTTCCTGGAGCCCATAGACATCTACGACGTAAATGCGCCACCCACCTTGAGATATAAGTTCTAAGGTCTCAGTATATTTACAACGGCTGCCCCACTCTTCAAACCGAAACGCATTACTGCTTCACGGCAGGAATAGGCCGGGTGGTGGTACCTACCCGCGCGGACTCACAAGAGGTCCTACCACCAGTAAAAAAGAATGATGAATTTATCCTCTTACTTTGATGGCACAACACAAAAGTTCGTTAGCAAATCGGTTCTACTGTCAAATTATTTTGGACATGTGACCATCAAATGATGGTTAATCAGTATTCCTTACGATGTGCGAACTCGTGACGATCACCACCTTTTTATTCGATTGGCCGCAGTTCCGTTGTACGTGATTACAATGCCATTTTTTAAGTGTGATTACCAGTCACCGTCCTCGTCGACGAGCGAATTAACCCATAGACGCAGTCCACTGATTTTCGCGCCGGATCTTCTCAGCGGGTCGCGTTTCCGATCCGGTGGTAGATTCCGCGAAGCACTGCTCTTGCTAGGGTCAGTGTTAGCAACACTCCGGTTTGAGCCCCGTGAGCTCACCTACACACGTTAGGGTGAAGTTGAAATAGCCTCTCAAGCAGGAACGTCTTAAATTAGGCTGGGGCTCTTGGGCACACAAGAATTTGAGGCCCTTTTGGAAAGTAAAAAAAGCGAATTATAATAACATTTTTTTACTAAGTATGACCATTTATTATAGGTAATCAAATACGGTATGATATAATATGTCATTAATTATATTAGAATGCTGGTGGTTTTTTGGTTACGCTCACGATAACGGAAACCGAATAAAAGTGTGGGAGAAATTGTCGGTCCTTAGGGGGCGCCCTGAGAATGGGTGCCCTGGGCACGGGCCCCGTGTGCCCTTATGGTAACGACGGTATTGCTCTCAAGGCTATCAGCATAGGTAGGAAAGAGAGAAAGAACAACACACATGCGCGCTGATATTGGACTGTATCACTGTCACAGACACAGCACTTGTTAATTTAAATAATTGGAAAGGGTTTTGTGAGTTAATCACGAGTAGACCAGATCGACTGGCGAACGGTCAATTCACGTCCGATATATAGCTACAAATGCCATTAATATTATTAAATTGGTATGTATTTTATATTTTTACTGGTGGGTAGGACCATTTGCGAGTCCGCGCGGGTAGGTACCACTATCCCGCCTATTTCTGCCGTGACGCAGTAATGCGTTTCGGTTTGAAGGGTGGGGCAGACGTTGTAACTATACTGAGACCATAGAACTTATATCTCAAGGTGAAAAGTAGATGTCTATAAACTCCAGTAACCACTTAACACCAGGTGGGCTGTGAGCTCGTCCACCCATCTAAGCAATAAAAAAAAATGTATGTATGTTTGTTTGTGTGTAACGAAATCTTTGAACGTCATTTTCGTCGACTTCAACACGTCCTAAAACTTGAAAATTTTAACTTTTTTTTAAATATATTTTCACACGTTCTAATAACTCTGAGCAGTATCGAGGGATTAAATCCATTGTTATTTCGGTTTGCTATTTAAGCGTGTTTCTTTAGTTTTCAAACTAAATAAGTATTTTATATATACGTTTTTCTCTACTTACATTTACTACCCAAAAAGTTATCCGAAATTTTGCTAATTCAATAAACTCTACATTTGAACTTCAAAATAACTAGTGGTCCCGCAGTAGTCGAAATTCGACAATATCAATTGAAATTATAAGTTTGAACATTATGATGGTTCTAATTTCGAAGACTATTATTATACTTCTATAATTACGGAACTCCCCAAAACTACACTATAGACAAATAATATTAAAGAAATAATATTAAAGACAAACAATAAATCTATTCTCAATTTGACCACAGACTTTAAACAATAACAAAGGTTTGACAATACGAGGGCGGGATGATAAGTAACTAGCCTCTACTATTTAAAAAGTTAAACTTTAAAAAATATATATGTCATTTTTAAATTCGTATCTCTGGCTACCTGTTCTAAATTTGAATTTGGTGGTGTGAAAATTTTATTGATTTTTTGTCATTTGAAAATATATTTCGTCAAGTGTTTTCAAAATGGATAAAATTGAACAAAGAGCGGTGATAAAGTTTCTTCATATGAAGGGCACGAAAGGGAAAGATATCTATGACGAGTTAAATAATGCTTAGGGTGAATGTGCTCCTTCTTATGCCACAGTAAAAAACTGGGTGGCTGAGTTTAAACGCGGTGGTACATGTGTCCAAGATGAAGCCCGCCCCGGACGTCCAAAAAGCGTCACGACTACGGAAATGGTCGTGAAAGTACATGATATGGGTTTAACAGATCGACGATGGAAGTTATCTGAAACAGCTGATACTACAGGTATCTCAAAAGACCGGGTATATCATATCCTAAATGAGGAATTAAATATGAAAAAGTCATCGGCCCGTTGGGTGCCGCGATTGCTTACGCACGATCAAAAGAGGATTCGGGTGCAAAAGTCAAAAGAATGTCTGGACCGTTTCAGAGTAATAATGCCGATTTTTTACGTCGATTTGTAACAACAGATAAAACATGGGTTCGTTATTATACGCCAGAATCAAAAATTCAATCAAAAC